CCAAGCAGCATCTGCTCCTATGATGCTGCTTGGCCTGCTGTGTTCATCCAGCCCTGCACCTTGTTGTCTCGGATTCTCCAGCATCTGCAGTTCCTACCGTCTGGAAATCTGATAGCTCTTCCGGGAGCTGTACAGTTTTCAAAATGGAAAACTCAAATGATATTAAAAATGTGTAAAAACACTCAGTCTACATCACAGTGTCAACAACATAGAGAAAGGCAATATTTGAGTCAGATTTTCATGAGTGAGGAAGGGAGTCAATTTAGAATCTTGAATGGAGTAATTGCTAAAACTGCCATGTGCTAGCCAGAGTAGAAATCAGGAGATTTGAAGGATCAGTGCATGACTTGAGACATGAAGCAGGAGTGGGGCTTTCAGATTCTTGGGATATTAAAAACAGTTCTAGGGGCAGAAGGCACCCTTTTAAAAGGGACAGGTTGTGTCTCAATAGGACTAGGATCAATGTTCTTATGGAAAGTTAATTTGAGTGGCTGGAGAGTATTTAAATAAAATTGGCAGAGAGATGGGCACCAGCATATAGAAAGACATAAAAAGGTATAAAGTAATCAGGGAATGATTGCTAGTTAGTAATAGAGAAGGGTTACAATGCACCTATGTAATCGCGTAGAGTGTGGTGAATGAAATTGGTGTGTTGCAACACCAACAGCCATGTTGGGATTCGAATGCAGTTAATCAGAACATTAGCTTGGGTCTCTGGATTGTTAGTCCAATGACATTTCCACTGTGCCACCACCTCACAAAAGGAAACTCAAAAATGTTCCTCCAGCATGTAAACTATAAGTGAACACTAAGAGGTGTAAGGGATACTGTTTAGGACAAAGAAGGCATTGTGGTATCTCAGTGGTTAGCACTGCTGCCTCACAGCACCAGGCACCCAGGTTTGATTCTACCCTCGGGCAACTGTATGGAGTTTGCATGTTCTCCCTGTGTCTGCAAGGGTTTCCTCCGGGTGCTCCGGTTTCCTCCCAGAGTCCAAAAGTGGATTAGCCATGCTAAATTGCTCATGGTGTCCAGGGATATGTCGGCTAGGTGGATTAACTATCGGAAATGCAGCGTTACGGGGATAGGGTAGTGGGGCTGGATCTGGGTGGGATGCTCATCAGAGGGTTGGTTTGGACTCAATAGGCCGAATGGCCTGCCTCTGCACTGTAGGGATTCTATGAAAGAGGCTGATATATGCTTAGAGGTACAGGATAAGGCTAGAATATATAATGAGTACTTTATATCATACTTCTGAAGAAGACTAAATCCCACACTATCGACATCCTGGGGGTTAGCATTGACTACAAACTGAATTGGACAAGCCATGTAAATACTGTGCCTATAAGAATAGGTCAGAGGTTGGAAAGTCTGTACTGAGTAACAGGCCTGCTAATTCCCCACAGTCTGACCATTAACTCCAAGGCACAAGTCAGGACTGTTATGGAATACCCTCCACCTACCTGGATGAGCACAACTTCAACAGCATTCAAGCTTGATGCCATTCAGGACAAAGCAATCTGCTTGATTGCCCCCTCATCTACCATCTTCACCGTGCACGCTCTCCATTACTGATGCACAAGTGGCATCCTAGTGTATACCATTTACGAGATTCACTGCAGCAACCCGCCAATGCTCCTTCCGCAGCATCTTCCAAACTCATGATCTGTACCACCTATAATGACAAGGGCAGCATATACAAGAAAAGAACAAAGAACAGAACAGCACAGGAACAGGCCCTTCAGCCCTCCAAGCCTGCACCAACACATTTTGCCCTTCTATACTAAAACGGCCTTCACTTATACGATCTGTATCCCTCTATTCCCTTCCTATTCATGTATTCGTCCAAGTGTTTCTTGAATGTTGCTATTGTGTCTACTTCCACCACCTCCTCTATTCATTCCAGGCATTCAACACCCTTTGTGTGAAAAACTTGCCTCGCACATCTCTTTTAAACTCCCCCCTGCCCCCCGCACCTTGATCCTCTGTCCCCTAGTAATTGAACATTCACCCTGGGAAAAAGCCTCATACTTTCCACTCTATCCATACCATTCATAATCTTATAAACTTCTATCAGGTCGCCCCTCAACCTCCTGCGTTCCAATGAAAACAAAGCCAGTCTATCCAATCTTTCTTCATAGCCAAATGCGCCCATACCAGGCAACATCCTGGTAAACCTTTTCTGTACTCTCTCCAAAGCATTCACATCCTTCTGGTAATGTGGTGACCATAACTGTATGCAAGATTTCAAGTGTGGCCTAACTAAAGTTCTATAAAGCTGCAGCATAACTTGCCTATCTTTATACTCAATGCCCTTTCAATGAAGGCAAGCATGCCATAGGCCTTTTTTACTGCCTTATCTACCTGCTCTGCTGCCCTCAGTGATCTGTGGGTCTACACACCCAGATCCCTCCGCATATCAATACTCCTAAGGGTTCTGCCATTCAGTGTATAATTTCCACCTGTACTTGACCTTCCAAACTACATCACCTCACATTTGTCCGGACTAAGCTCCATCTGTCATTTTTCTGTCCATGCCTCCAACTGATCTACATCCTGCTGTATCCTCTGACAATCCTCCTCACTATTCACAACACCACCAATCTCTGTATCGTCTGAAAACTTACTAATTAGATCAACTACTTTTATGCTCTAAATCATTTATGTAGATCATGAACAGAGGTCCCAGCACTGATGCCTATGGAACACCACTAGTCAAACCCTCCATTCCAAAAAGCATCCTTCCACCGCTACCCTCTGTCTCCTATAACTAAGCCAGTTCCGTACCCATCTTGCCAGCTCACCCCCTGATACCATGTAACTTCACCTTCTGTGCCAGTCTGCCATGAGGGACCTTGTCAAAGGCTTTACTGAAGTCCATGTAGACAATATCAACTGTTTTTCCCTCAGTCATCTTCATCACCTCCTCAAGAAACTTGATCAACTTAGTGAGGCATGACCTCCCCTGCACAAAACCATGCTGTCTATCACTACTAAGTCCATTTGCTTCTAAATGCATACAGATCTTGTTCCTGAGAATCTTTTCCAATTATTTCCCTGCCACTGCAGTTAGGCTCACAGGCCTGTAATTTCCAGGATTTTTCCTGTTACCCTTCTTAAACAATGGGACAACATTGGCTATTCTCCAGTCCACTGGAACCTTACCTGTGGCCACAGAGGATACAAAGACATATGTCAGTGCTCCAACAATTTGTTCTCTTTACTCTCTCAATATTCTGGGACAGATCCCGTCAGGACCCGGGGACTTATCTACCTGAATACTTTTTAAGATGCACAAC